ATCTAAACCAAAGAATGATAAGTAAAACATGTAGAGGAAAAACATCAGAGAATGATATTATTTATGATTTTATGTACAAACATTCTTTGTAAAATAGCATATTTAATTCATCAGTATACCAAAACATCATGACGGTGACTGAGTAGGATTTTTTCCCTAGGACAGCAAAGTTGGTTCAATATCTGGAAATCTAAGACATCTATCAACACAATTAATTACATATATAAGTTAAGGGAGGAGAAAAAGAGATGATCACATCAGTGGATGCTAAGAAGGGAGATGCAGAGATCCTAGAAAGGGAAGAGTAACCAAGGAGATCAACATTTATTCATTCACCCATTCATGCATAGCATATTTTTCTAAGGGCTTCTGGCCAGGCATTGTTGGGGCAGTTAGGCAGGTGGTAAAATAGCATATATGTGACTGTTACAAATATGAAAGAAATACCAGAAGAGTCCAGGGATTAAGCTACTCTTTTTGGATGGAGTTAGGGAAATGTTCACAGCATCAGAGATGTTTGAGCTGGGTCAAGATGAAAAAAACAAACAAAAAAAGATTGTTGGAAGATTTGGTAGATGGGAAATAGAGGGGCAAACAGTGGAAACAGTGTCAGACTTTATTTTTTGGGGCTCCAAAATCACTGCAGATGGTGATTGCAGCCATTAAATTAAAAGACGCTTACTCCTTGGAAGAAAAGTTATGACCAACCTAGATAGCATATTAAAAAGCAGAGACATTATTTTGCCAACATAGGTCCGTCTAGTCAAGGCTATGGTTTTTCCAGTGGTCATATATGGATGTGAGAGTTGGACTGTGACGAAGCTGAGCACCGAAGAATTGATGCTTTTGAGCTGTGGTGTTGGAGAAGACTCTTGAGAGACCCTTGGGCTGCAAGAAGATCCAACCAGTCCATCCTAAAGGAGATCAGTCCTGGGTGTTAATTGGAAGGACTGATGCTGAAGCTGAAACTTTAGTACTTTGGCCACCTGATGAGAAGAATTGACTCACTGGAAAAGACCCTGATGCTGGGAGGGATTGGGCGCAGGAGGAGAACGGGACGACAGAGGATGAGATGGCTGGATGACATCACCAACTCCATGGACATGAGTTTGCGTAAACTCCGGGAGTTGGTGACGGACAGGGAGGCCTGGCGTGCTGCGATTCATGGGGTCGCAAAGAGTTGGTCGCGACCGAGTGACTGAACTGAACTGAACTGAATGATAGCTTATGGTGATCGATGTTGGATTTGTGATCTCTGAAGAAGATGATTTTGCTTCGGGACCAGGAACCGGTCTTGACCACTTGAGAGCTTTTGTGTAGCAGAGTTTTATTAAAGTATAAAAAGGACAGAGAAAGCTTCTGACATAGACATTGGAAGGGGGATGGAGAGTGCCTCACTGAGTTTTATCAAGGCCTTATATACTTTTACCAGACCCACTCTCACAACATCCATCTTAACAAGATTAAAACTAACAATAGAAAGGTCTTACCAGACCCACTCCTACAGCATAAGTCTTAAGATAAGATTAGTCAGAAGTTTCCTGTTAAGAAAAAGAAACATGTCCTCAAGCAAGGTATATTGTTGTTATATAATCACTGGTACAGAGTTTAAGGAAAAACAAGATGAGTTGTTTTGTTGTATAATCATTAACTCTGGGCTTAAAGAAAAACAACAACAACAACAACAACATTTTATGTGACTAAGATGCAGGAGTGTAGAAAAAAAATGTGTACTTTTCTCCTCCTCAAGAGCCCCAGACCCTTTTCTCCTCCTCACAGACCCCAGACTTCTTATCAACCTACCTAAGAATTCACTCTCTCAATAATGGGAGTTATATAGCATTGTAGATGGTGTATATAGCATGAGCAAGTCTTCAAGGTTATTAAATTTCATTATAAATCTTGAGAATGGTTACTGGACCACTGTTAACACACAGAAGAATGGTTTGGGAAGATGCTGTTAAGGTCTTATGCAGACAGGTACTTAGCCAGACCCTGGCACTCCTTTGAGGTCCCTGAGGTTGCCTCCATGGGGAGTACAGTGTTAGGGTAATATATGGTGCTGGGGATAACAGAAAATATGGTGGGGGGCATGGTTTGCATATGGATGCTTACATTTTCATTTTTCATAGTCTCCCAGAAGTTGCCTATTCCTTTATATCTACAGAATTTCTGAAAAGGCCAGGATTCTTCAGTCAATTGGCAATGTGCAATTGCTTTGGAAATGTGCCTCTTTGCTTTAGAAATCACTGTATCCTATATTAACCCATTTTTAAAGTTCCTATTTTGGAATAGCTTTAGATTTATAGAAAATTTGCAAGGATAATATTAAGCCATTTAAAAAAAAATCTACAAATAACATTTATATTACAAATGAGTGTGGTGCATTAAAATCTTCAAATCTTTATTTTATCCTGCTTGTTCCCCACTTGTATTCATTTTAGTCTGATTGAAAGTAGAACAGACACTTTAACCCTTTTAGTAAAAGACTGAGGCTCAGTTAAACAAATAATGCCAAAATTAATGTTTCTCAACCCGAGCTTGGTTTTGGCATTAAAAAAAAAAACCTCATAGACTTTAAAATTTGCAGCCAGTTTTAAGAACCAGGAATAAACCAAATTCATAGTTGTTTTTCTGTATTAGTTTTGTGCTGGGCTTTAATGGTGGTTTCAAGGTATATAAAATATGGTCCCTACTCTTCTGAGGAACTTAACTGTGTACAAAGCATATACCCAAGGTGCAGGAGAGGAAGGGCAAGAGAAGGCCCTGCAACGAGAGTGGAAATGCAGTGTCACCACCATAGGCTTAAGTAACAGCAGACTCCTGATTCCTATGTTCGAGGCTTCCTCATTGACTCATGTCATTCCCTTTCATCAGAGAGCTACATCGCCAACAATTCTCCTCCCTTCACTTTGCATAGCATTTAACAGTATATAAAGCACTTGAACACTGTTATCTCACTGGTTGTCCTGAAACTCTGTGAGAGCAGGGAGCAAGGGTACCTGGGACACCATGTGAGGGATGCAGAGCTTCTCGAGATCATGTCACCCCTGCTGGCGTAGTCTAATGCTACCCAGGTCACCCTGGGCCCCAGCTTCCCCCATCACCCTCATCTCTCCACGGCCATACCATGTGCTGACCCTGCATTTTCTCCTGAGTTCCCACTGTTCTTTGCTTCCTTAGTGGCTCAGTGCTAAAGAAACTGCCTGTCAATGCAGAAGACACAGGAAACGAGGGTTCAATTCCTGGGTTGAGAGGATCCCCCAGAGCAGGAAGTGGCAGCCCACTCCAGTATTCTTGCCTGAAAAATCCCATGAACAGAGGAGCCTGGTGGGCTATGGTCCGTGGGGTCGTAAAGAGCTGGACATGTCTGAGCGACTGCACACACACACACACACACACACACCCCTGGTGTTCCTTGTTGTTACAGACATCTGGAGGTAATCATGGAGCCCTCTCAATTAATTCAGCCCCATTAATAAATGACAGGGTGGATTTGGGGCTGGAGAGGGTGAGGAAAGCTTCCGGGCCTCCGCTTGTTGGAGAGCTCTTGCAATCAGACTTGGAGAGCCCTCCTCAGGGAGAGAATGTGAGGTTCAGCCCCAGCCTGCATGCTGCCTGCAGGGGTGGTTGGTTTACCCCGACACCAAGACATCGTTTTTCTTTCCTCACAGAGCATATTTTAGTCTGAGTAGGGCCGTCCCGGGCTGGCTTTCGTATCCCCATCCTAATTGAATTTTTCCTAAAAATCCAGTATGGTTTGAGCTCACTGATGGGCAGAGCTCCTGATGGGTGTCGTGGGGGGCTGCCCTGTGCTTATAGGGGTTGAGTATTTTAGCCCCTGGCCATTAGGCAGCAGTATCTTTCTCAGGCATTGTGGCAAACACTGCCCCTCTCCCCAGTTTCCAAGTACCCCTTGGTGAGCAGCAGTACTGCTTCTGCCAGAGGCATCATCTTAAAGTGTCCTGCCATGCACTAGTCATGCCCTTGTTTCAAGAATAAACCTTGGATGATTCCTTAATGCCTGCAGAATTCAAAGTCTTCAAGTTTGCATACAAAGCTTTCAGTGCTTTGGGTCCATCCCGCATTTTTAGTTACTTTGCTAGCTACTTTTCTGTTTTCCCCCTCCAGCCACACTAAATTGAAGTACTGTGTACTTTTCCTACCCCTGCAACGTTGCCTATGTTATTCAGGCCCGACCTCTACTCAGCATTCAAAGCTCAATCTGAAGGTCACCTCATTAATGAGGTCTTAGTTTTGCTCCCTGCAAGAAGTGATTTTACCTTTTTCTGCATTCCAGTAACACTTTATTTTTTACCTCACTTAGATAATGTATGTATGTATGTATGTGTTGATTGCTCAGTCATGTCTGACTCTTTGTGATCCCATGGACTGTAGCCCAGGCTTCTCTGTCCATGAGATTCTCCAGGCAAGAATAGTGGAATGGGTAACCATTCCCTTCTCCATGGGATCTTCCTGACCCAGGGTTCGAACCTGGGTCTCCCACATGGAGGGCAGATTGCTTACTGTCTGAGCCACCGGGGAAACCTCACTTAGGTAATGTCATTATTTAATTGGTATGGTAATCATTTTAATAGATTGTTAATGAAATTGAAGCTTTTTTCCCAACCTTACTGATATAAGAATCTCCTACCATAGAAACTTCTTAAGGCTAGGAACAATTTCTTGCTCATATCTATCTCCTGAAGAATGCTAGGCACTAAAATAGGTAACTGTTGGAAGAGAGGTATTCAAGGTGGGTTGAAGAGAGTGTTCAATTTTTCTCCTCCTTCAGTTAAGGTAGTTCTTTCCATAACTCTCCACCTCCTCCTCCTCCTTACCTTTCTCCCTTCTTTCCTTCCTCCCTTCTTTCATCATCTCAGAGTCTGTTTCAAAATTTCATTAGGTATGGATTAAGAAGAAACAGTAATGAAGAGAAGTATACTGCTTTCATTTTTGTGTTTCTTTAAAGGCAACTGTTTGTTTCCTTTTACTTCTAGATTGAACAATGTCTCACCCATCTTGGCTGCCACCAAAAAGCACTGCTGAGCCTCTTGGCCACGTGTCTGCACGGATGGAGACCACCCATTCCTTTGGGACCCCCAGCATTTCAGTGTCCACACAGCAACCACCCAAGAAATTTGCCCCAGTTGTTGCTCCAAAGCCCAAGTACAACCCATACAAGCAACCTGGTGGTGAAGGTGAGTGTGGGCTTTGCAGAGGTGGGTGCCTAAAACAAGAGAGTTCAATATAATAAAAGTGATTTGTAGTACAATGTTGCATTGGGAAAAGAATTTTGTAGTGTGGCTATCATAGTACATAGACTGTCAAACGTTGAAGAACACCTAGTAACCACCTAGGCAACTCTTCTACTGGGCATACAGATTGAAATCTGTTAGGGGTTATCTGACTGTGGTTTTGGCCAGAGCTAAAACTGGAACCCTCGTCTCTTCATTCATAGCTCGGTGTCCTTCTATTGCAGTATCCTCCACCCCCATCCCATTGTCTTGTAGAAATGTGCCTACCACCCAGTTTCCCCTCCCTCTTGCCATCGGACAAGTGTCCCACGTGCTACCAAGCAGGGGTCTGATGGTGTGTCTGTTTGAAGTGACCCTGATAAGGCACTTAGACATTTTTTCCCTTCTCTAGTTATTTTGTCTAGATTGTTGTTTTGTCTCTTCATTTTGGGGGAGAGGTAAGATGAAGTTCCCTCTAATATGAAGAGAATAAAGACAGTCCCTCTTACCGAGAAGGAGGCAGAGGTGTGAGGAGGGCTTAGTAGTTAGGACAGTCAGTGCACACTTGAGGGTCAGGATGGGGCAGGTTCTGTATCATGTTGGCATGTGTGAGAGGGAGGGGGAAAGCAGGTGACGGTCATGCTTCAGACGTCTTCGCTTGGAGTACTGCGAATTCGAGTGAGCTGGACCCTTGGCTGAGTCTTCTGTGCTGAGATGCCCCATCCTGGTCCCCATACTTTGTGAGGTCCTCTCGCTGCCCAGCTGGTTCTCTAGGGACCCTGGCTTCATCTCTGACCCTCTGCAGCTCTTTGCTCATCTCTGATCTTTCTTACCATGCCGCCTCACCACCCTGTTGTCCTCTGTGACCACCCTACTCGTGTCACCATCTCCAGTGTCTGGGCATGACCTGGCCTGGAGGGAATCGGAAGTCATCTCTTCCCTGGGTTTCCACATGCATCATATTCTGACTGTCAAATTCCTACTTCTTTTGTTGCTCCTCCTGCTGTCCTTAATCTGCCACTGTTGACCAGATGGTCTGTGTGAGGCACTCTGCTTTTTCGTTGTCGTTCTGTTGCCTTATCCTTTAACTCTATGAACCCACTGCTTTTTCACAGCAAAAAATGGAAACTTGGAGACAAGAGGTGACGCTCTCTGTGGTTTTGAAGTGAGACTATTGTCCTCACCCAGCCTGCTGTGCTGCTGGTCCTCCTTTTCCTGGCATATGTGGTACTTGGGCCCCATATGATGGTGATACCTCCTCACTTCCTTATAAGAATGTAAGCTTTGTTTCCCCATTTAAGCAACAAGATATGGTTTCTCATTCATCCTTATGTTCCTCTTGGCTCTTATTATGCTACTGTGTTTTTAGTGGGAATGGTTGTGTGTGGTCAAATGCATGTCTGTGTCTTCTTATGTGTATATATATTTGGATGGATGGCGGATGGCTGGATGGGTGAGTGCACCACTCAGTAATTCTCTTGCAATAAACAGTTTGGAATGTGGCATCCTCTCTCGAAGCAATTCAGTCTCATTGAATTTCTGAAGTCTTGAGTCTTTCTTGCAATTCTGCCAGTCTCTCTTTCTTGTTAATATAACCTTTTTTGAATACATGAAGGAAGAGATTTCTCTTGCATATATGCATTTTAAAGGCAAACGTGGATAAAGGTTCATGGATATTCAGACTTTTAAAAATGTAGCTCCGTCTCTTCATCTGCTGTATCTTATGACTTGATATTTGTTAGAAGTGTAAGATTTACTTTCCTTTATATTTAATTTAAATGTTAGTGCATCTTCTGTTGCCCTCAACATTTTTATAATTCATGTTACTTTTGTTTAATTTTTAATACATTTTCTAAAGTTTATATGCATTTTCTTTTTCTTTTTTGGTCCATTTAGAATGTTCTGTACCATCAGTGAAATCCCCAGGTAGTAGGTAACACAGTTTTCATTTATAGGGTGAGTTGATGATGCCAAGGTCTTGTTAGCTCAGCTCACGCTATCCTTTGCCTCTATACATACTCACCTTCAATTTTTAGCCCATAAAGCCTTAGCATTCATAGCTTAATTCAGAGTCTGACTTCCAGGAACCTCAGCCATGAAGACAGAGTATAAACCTAACAGAAGTCATAGCCCACCTTTTGCTGGTGTCAAGGTGAAAAACTGCAGTGCAGAGAGTGTAAGTGATTTGTTTGAAGACGGATAACCTGCTTGTCATCAGGTTGGTGCTAGACCTCAGGTCCCCTTTGTCTGAGTCCAGAGTTATCAGGACCCTGTGTTATAGTCTAGCGAGGACTCCTTCCCTGAATGTAACTTCTATGCATCTCATACAGTCCTTTGCACAATTTTCCTTCTAGAAGATTTACTTGTATGTCGGCCTGTCTCCTTTGGGAGGTGGGGCGGCCTGACTCATGCCTTTACTCCTAGCAGCATCCAGAAGGACACTTGACACACAGTAGTACTCGGTGATGTTTGCAGTGATAATTAAGCTACGGCACTCTGAACCTGCTTATCCAGGTTCATATTCAGGCTTCTCAAATACTTTTCAGGGTTTATGGTTCTGTATGGGTTATTTTTACCTCCTCTCCCCTGTCCTGGAGCTTGGTAGCCTAGGATTTGTTTAACCACTGCTACCTTGAAGTTACTGATTACATTTCTCACTCTGGTCTAATGTCGGTAATCTCTGGGGTTTGCCTTCTCATTTTTAAATTCTGACTGTGAAAGTTGAAAAAGTACCCACATGTTTTCCACATCAACTTATATTTATGTGATACCATATGTTATAATTTTCTTTTATAAGGTATTCCACTAATAACTTTCTCTGAAGAGCTTTGGCACATTTAAAAGTGCGGTGTACTTTTTCCCAGTTAGTAGCTCTTTAGGCCTTAGGGTTTTGTTATTTTGCTACCATTGTTCACATTTTTCATTGATTTTTTTTTTTTTTTCCAACAACTTGTGTATCTTGGAATGCCCCTGCATTTCCAAATGCCTTTCTGTGTCCTGTACTATATACTTATGAGCCCATGAATATTTTTTATTGTTTTGTCTTCTTGCAAATTTTTCCCTGTTAAATGTCTATGTATTTTTTTTTATGGAATGCTTTTGGTATGTATGTGTGGTTTTATCTCTTTAACTTCTCTTCTAGACTGGTGAGGGAATAAGGTGACATAATTTTTCTTTTGGTCTTTAAAGTACTAGCAGTAGTGTTCTTTATCTTGTAATCTGGGCCCTTTCTCTGCTTCCAATTTGCAAAATAGACTTTGATGGCAGAACAGGGTATAAATCTTGCCTTTTCTGTCCTTGGTAGATACCAAAGAAAATGATCTTTTTTTCTTTTATTAATACATTGTTTTATGAAATGATTTTGAAATTTTCCTACTATTTTAACTCTGGCAATTGGAAATTCTTTCTCTCAATAATTTGGCTGAATGAACTGTGATAATATTTTGTGTTCCTTATTACAATAGATTATAATACAGAAGGATTTGTAAAGTTTGTAGGTTTGTAAAGTTGGAATTATCTTGTGACCTGGAGTTGACTTTCTCCAATTTCTGAAGTTTCTTTTAAAAATATTTTGTATATAAGAGTTTAAAAAAAGTGAATCCATAGGGTACAAATTCCACATGATGGTTTTAGTAGAATTCCTTTTGTTTGTACAATCCATTATAATTTTTCTAGCACATCCACATTCATTGTTATTTAATTATCAAAAAGTGTTCTTATTGAAGCTCTCTGAGTTAGATAGAATAGATGGTATTGCAATTATACCAAGTGGTAAACACCCAAAGTGAAGGAACTTATTCAATAATCACATAGTTAATAAAATTGTAGAGCTAGGCTCTATTTTTTATATCTAGGGCTCTTATTGATTTTAGAAGGTTCTATTTATTAGAGATTGAGCTAGATAGCCTCATCTATTTTGGATTCATTATTTTATTATTTCATGATTTTTCTTTAAAATTAATTTCAAAATGGTTGCTTTTTGTTTTAAACTAACTTTTCCTATGTATATTACCTTCTATGCTTCTGTATAATAATAAACAAATCCTCTGTTTTCAAGCTTTGCCTACATTGCTTCACCTAGACTTGTAAAGTCAAATCAGAATAGGTGAAATAAATTCTATTCATTGACGATCCTAAGCCTGGAAATTTTTTACTAGTTCTCTCTGTGTTTTATTCTACCTGAGGTTCCCAATCCAGTCTGTGGAGAGGGAGTAGTTATTGCCTGTTGCTAACCCAGGGTAAACATAGTACTGAGAACAAAATGCCATCTTAAACAACTGGTCTCCCATGATGGAAATGGCAGCCAAACTTGTTTCCTTTCCACTTTCTTGCCCAAGCCTTTCTTCATGTTTTAATCACAAAGTCTTTGAGCAGCAGAACTAGAAAAGAGTTTGAAGGTTTTCTAGCGCAGTTCTTTCACTTTTCAGATGTGAAAACTCTGAGAGGGAAAAGAATATCTTCCCAAGGTTACCCAGGAGTTTGGGGCTGAACTGGCTCCAGAACTCAGGTCTTAAATGTGCTCATTCCATTGGGTCTCCGCTGTCTTAGGTTGGAAGAGACAAAATTGGGGCTTGGTTCCTAGGAATTGCTGAGTCTTTGATTATTGCTATTTGGTGTTGAACTGGCCCTTAGTGATGTGAAGTCATGTAACCTGGTCAGGCAGGACATATTTGTTTTTTCAATGGATAGCAAGAATGTGAGTGAAATTGATGGCCATTTATGGCAATGTATTTGAAAAAGTAATTTGGAATGGATTATTTCTGCCATTTTTAATCTTGTGCATATAAACCAATTTGCTGCTGTTTTGACTCTTGAGAGTCCCTTGGACTGCAAGGAGATCCAACCAGTCCATCCTAAAGGAAATCAGTCCTGAATATTCATTGGAAGGACTGATGTTGAAGCTGAACTTCCAATACTTTGGCCACCTGATGTGAAGAGCTGACTCATTTGAAAAGACCCTGATG